TGTCCACTCTCCGGCCGTAGGGAGGGTCCGGCAGCGCCCATGGACCCCCCCAGAGCCCCCCCTGTCCCCCCCGTGGCGCTGCCGGCGCTGGACGCCATCGCCTTCTCGGGGGGAGGGGCCGAGAGCCCCGCACGGACACCGCTGACCACGGCACTGAGCCCCACAATGACCCCCACAATGACCCCCACAATGACCACGGCACTGACCCCCCACAATGACCCCTGAGCTGACCCCCACAATGACCCCCACAATGACCCCTGAGCTGACCACGGCACTGACCCCCACAATGACCCCTGAGCTGACCCCCACAATGACCCCCACAATGACCCCTGCACGGACACCGCTGACCACTGCACTGAGCCCTGAAGTGACCCCTGAGCTGACCACTGCACTGACCCCCACCCTGACCCCCACCCTGGCCGTTGCTCCAAACCCCACCTTGGCCCTGTCCTTGACCTCCACCTTGACCTGTGCCCCGGGCCCGGACGTGTTCTGGGCCAGCCTGCTCCGTGCCCAGCTCTGCGTCCAGGAGCTCCAGGGGGGCCATCGAGGGACAGACGGACACCGGGGACCCCCACCAGGACCACCCCTGGGACCACCACCAGGATGGGCCTGGGAGCATCTCCCAGGAGCGCCAAAGCCACGAATCCACGTTTGAGGAGATCTTCCAGGTATTCATGGATGAGAACATCTCACCCAAATCTGTGGCCACATTGGAGAACATCTCACCCAAACCCATGGATGAGAACATCTCACCCAAAGCCGTGGCCACACATGAGAACATCTCACCCAAACCCATGGATGAGGACATCCCACCCAAAGCCATGGATGAGGACATCCCACCCAAAGCCATGGATGACAGCGTCTCACCCAAACCCATGGCCACACATGAGGACATCCCACCCAAACCCATGGCCATGGATGAGAACGTTTTCCAGGTGTCCAAATCCATGACCGTGGATGGGAACATCTCCCAGGAGCTCCAAAGCCATGAGTCCACATTTGAGGAGATCTTCCAGGTGTGCATGGGTGAGGACATCCCATCCGAACCCACGGCTGTAGATGAGGACATCCCACCCAAACCCATGGCCGAGGATGAGGACATCCCATGCAAATCCATGCTGATGGATGAGAACATCTTCCAGGTGTCCACAGATGGTTCCATCCCACCCGAATCCATGGCCATGGAGCTCTCCCAGGAGCTCCAAGACCATGAATCCACGTTTGAGGAGATCTTCCAGGCGTGCATGGACGAGGACATCCCACCCAAGCCCATGGCCATGGGTGAGAACATTTTCCAGGTGTCCATGGATGAGGACATCCCACCCAAATCCACAGCCAAGGATGAGGACATCCCACCCAAATCCACAGCCAAGGATGAGGACATCCCACCCAAATCCACAGCCAAGGATGAGGACATCCCACCCAAATCCACAGCCAAGGATGAGGACATCCCACCCAAATCTGTCGCCACGTTGGAGAACAGCTTCCAGTTGTCCACAGATGGGTCCATCCCACCCAGTTCTATGCCCAAGGAGGAGGACATCCCACCCAAGCCCACGACTGTGGGTGGGGAGCATCTCCCAGGAGCTCCAAAGCCATGAATCCACATTAGAGGACATCCCGCATGTGTCCATGGATGAGGACATCCCACCCAAATCCATGGATGAGGACATCCCACCCAAATCCATGGATGAGGACATCCCACCCAAATCCATGCCCATGGATGAGAACGTTTCCCAGGTGTCTACAGATGGATCCATCCCACCCAAGCCCGTGACCATGGACGGGAGCATCTCCCAGGAGCTCCAAAGCCATGGATCCACGCTTGAGGACATCCTGCATGTGTCCATGGATGAGTCCATCCCACCCCAGGCCGTTCCCGTGGACCAGAACTTTGAGTTCCTCTTTGGGAGCATCTCCCACACGCCCATGGGTGGGGACACCTCATCCTGGCCCATGACCATGGATGGGCTCACCTCGCCCCAGTTCATGACCACGGATGGGACCTTGTCTCCAGAGCACCTGGCCGTGGATTCAAGGATCTCACCCGAGCCTGTGGCCGTGGATGGTCCCCGCCTCACCCAGGCCCGTGACCCCTGATGGAGCAATTTCTCCAGAGAACGTTCCCATGGATTCCAGGATCGCCCCCAGTCCCATGGCCATGGATGGTCCCATCTCCCCCAGGCCCCAGGCCCCCAAACTCAGCCAGGAGGGAGAGGAAGGTGACGACGATGGTGACGGCCACCACGCCAACGATGACCATGATGACCACCATGACCACCATGACTGTGATAACCGCGATGGCCACAAAGACCGTGATGACCGCCATGACCGTGATGACCACCATGATCACCATGACCTAGATGACCACGATAACCATGATGACCACCATGACCTCAATGACCGCAATGACTTCAGTGACCTCAATGACCATAATGACAGTGATGACCACCATGACCACGATGACCACAAAGACCATGATGACCACCATGACCACGATGACCACCATGACCATGATGACCACCATGACCTCAATGACCACCGTGACCACGATGACCACAAAGACCATGATGACCACCATGACCTCAATGACCACCGTGACCACGATGACCACAAAGACCATCATGACCACCATGACCACCATGACCACCATGAGCTCAATGATCTCAATGACCCAGATGACCATAAAGACCATGATGACCACCATGACCTAGATGACCTCAATGACCACAATGACCACAATGATCTAGATGACCACAAAGACCGTGATGATCACAATGACCTAGATGACCACCATGACCATGGTGGCTCCTCCCATGGAGATGAAGACAAGGAGAACCTGGATGAGGAGAACCTGGACGAGAAGGATGTGGATGATGAGGAGAACCTGGATGAGGACCTGGATGATGAGGACCTGTTTGAGGAGGACCTGGATGAGGACGAGGAGCCCCATTTCCACACCAACCCCCTGTTCCAGCACCCGCTGCCCCCGGGGGTGCCCCCCTGGCGTCCCCACGGTGCCACCCTCGGGTGTCACCCCCCCGGGAGCAGCCACCACCGCGGCCTGGGTGAGTGTGGTCCCCCCAGATTTGGGGCTGAGGGTTGGGTTCATCTGGGGGGGTCCCCACCAATCTGATGGGGACCCCCCCCCCCTGTGGTGTCTTCTCCATCCCCAGGACCACCCAGAACCCCGGAATTCGGGGACACCCCGGATCCACCGCTGGAATTTGGGGACCCCCCAGAATTTGGGGACCCCCTGGAATTTGGGGACCCCCCGGAATTTGGGGACCCCCTGGAATTTGGGGACCCCCCCCTTGGTGTTTTCTCCTCCCCCAGGACCACCCAGAACCCCGGAATTTGGGGACAGCCCAGATCCGCCTCCGGAATTTGGGGACACCCCGGATCCACCTCTGGAATTCGGGGACCCCTTGGATCCACCCCTGGAATTTGGGGACCCTCCCAAATGGGTGGACTCAAAATGGGGGGGACTGGACCCCCCCACCCCCCTGGAGGAGCCCCCCAGTTCCTGGGACCCCCCCAGATTTACCCCAAAAATTGGGACCCCAAATCCCCCAGAACCCCCAAATTGGCCCCAAAAAGAGGGACCCCAAAAACCCCAAATCCCCCAGATTTGCCCGAAATCCCCCCAGATTTACCCCAGAAAGTGAGACCCCAAAACCTCCCAGATTTACCCCAAAAAGAGGGACTCCAAAACCTCCCAGAACCCTTCAATGTGCCCCAAAAAGAGGGACCACAAATCCCCCCAGATTTACCCCAAAAAGAGGGACCCCAAAAACCCCCAAATCTCTCCAGTTTTGCCCCAAAAGGAGGGACCCCAAAACCCCCAAATCCCCCCAGTTTTGCCCCAAAAAGAGAGACTCCAAAATCCCCCAGATTTACCCCACAAAGAGGGACCCCAAAACCCCCCAAATCCCCCAGATTTACCCCAAAACCTCCCAGATTTACCCCACAAAGAGGGACCCCAAAACCTCCCAGAACCCCAAATGTGCCCCTAAAAGAGGGACCCCAAAGACCCCAAAACCTCCAGATTTATCCCAAAAAGAGGGACCCCAAAGCCCCAAATCCCCCCAGTTTTACCCCAAAAAGGGAGACCCCAAAACCTCCCAGATTCACCCCAAAAAGAGGGAGCCCAAAACCCCCAAATCCTACCAGATTTACCCCAAAAAGGGAGACCTCAGAGCCCCCAAACCCCCCCAAATTTACCCCAAAAAGAGGGACCCCAAAACCTCCCAGAACCCCCAGATTTACCCCAAAACCTCCCAGATTTGCCCCTAAAAGGGAGACCCCAAAACCTCCCAGATTTACCCCAAAAGGAGGGACCTCAAAACCTCCAAATCCCCCCAAGTTTACCCCAAAAAGAGGGACCCCAAAACCTCCCAGAACCCCCAAATTTACCCCAAAAATTGGGACCCCAAATTCCCCCCAGAACCCCCAAACTGGCCCCAAAAAGAGGGACCCCAAAACCCCCAAATCCCCCCAGATTTGCCCCTAAAAGAGGGACCCCAAAGACCCCAAATCCGCCCAGATTCACCCCAAAAATGGGAACCCCAAATCCCCCCAAAATGGGGACCCCAAACCCCAAATTTCCCCCCAAAATGGGGGGTCCAGAGCCCCCCCCACCCCCTGACCCCCCTTAAACCCCCCCAAAGCCCCCGGGGCCCCCCCAAAACCCCCCTGAGCCCCCCCAGAACCCTTCAGGACCCCCCAAAAATCCCCCAAAATCTCCCCAGATCCCCCCAGGACCCCCCAAAATCTCCTCTGAGCCCCCCCAAATCTCCCCTAAGCCCCCCCAAAATCCCCCAAATCCACCCCAAATCCTTCCAGGACCCCCCAAAAATCTCCTCTGAGCCCCCCCAAAATCCCCCCAAATCCACCCCAAATCCCCCCAGGACCCCCCAAAATCCCCTCAGGACCTCCCCAAAATCCCCCAAATCCCCCCCAGATCCCCCCAGGGACCCCCCCGGGGCCCCCCCCCGAGCCCCGGGATTTTTGGGGGGTCACCCCCTGACCCCGAGGAGCCGCCCCCCAAAACCAGCCCGGACCGGGACCCCCTCGGGTGAGGAACCCCCCGAGACCCCAGACCCAATTGGGGACCCCCAAACCCTTCCTGACCCCCCCAGACCCAAATGGGGACCCCCAAACCCTTCCTGACCCCCCCAGACCCAATTGGGGACCCCCAAACCCTTCCTGACCCCCCCAAACCCTTCCTGACCCCCCCCCCCCCCCCGAGCCCCCAGACCCATTTGGGACCCCCTCCCTTTTCCCCCATTGTCCCCCCCAATTTGGGGACCCAAATCCCCCCGGGACCCCCCCAAAATCCGCATTTCCCTCTGAAAAATCCCATTTTTTTTTCCCCCAAAATCCTTTCCCCGACTCCCTCATTTTTCCCCCAAAAAATCCCTTTTTTTCCCTCATTTTTTTCCCCCAAATTCCCGTTTATGTTTCCCCAAAACCCCGTGGGTTTTTTGTCCCAAAACCCCCATTTTTCCCCCAAAAAATCCCATTTTCCCTCCTGAATCCCAATTATTTTTTCCCAAAACCCCTTTGTTTTTTCCCCAAAAAATTCCCATTATTTCCCCCCAAAATCCCAATTATTTTCCCAAAAAGATAATTTTCTTTTCAAAAAATCCCCATTCCCCCCCTCAAAATTCCCATTTTCCTCCTATTTCTTCCCCCAAAATCCCCATTTTTCTTCCCAAAATTCCCAATTTTTCCTTCCCAAACCCCCAAATTTTCCCCGAAATTCCCATTTTTTCTTCCCAAAATTCCCATTTCCCCCTATTTTTTCCCCAAAATCTCATTTTTTTGCCCCATTTTCCCCACCCAGGGAGGACCCTCAGGCCCTGGCCCGGCGCCTTTTCCGCCTGGACTGGGGGTCAGGAAGTCCCAGGTGGCCTCGTACCTGCGCAAGGAGTGAGAGTTTGGGGGGAAAAAAACGGGAATTTGGGAAAATTGGGGAAAAAATGGGAATTTTGGGGTGAAAAAATTGAATTTTGGGCAGAGAAATGGGGAAAAAATGGGATTTTTTTGGGGGAAAAATGGGGATTTTGGGAGGAAAAATTTGAATTTTGGGGGAGAAATTGGGGAAAAAAAGGGATTTTTTTTGGGGAAAAATGGGGATTTTGGGGGGAAAAAAGGGGAATTTTGAGGGGGGGGGAATGGGGAATTTTTTTTGGGGAAAAAATGGGGATTTGGGAAGAAAAATGGGGATTTTTGGGAAGAAAAATGGGGATTTTGGGGGGAAATTGGAGGGAAAATGTGAATTTTGGGGAAAAAATTTGAATTTTGGGGGGAGGAAAATGGGGGTTTAGTGGGGAGAAAATGGGGATTTTGAGGGGAAAAAAAGTGAATTTTGGGGGAAAATGAGGATTTTTCTGGCGGGAATCGTGGGGTTTTTTGGGGCATTGAGGATTTTTGTGGGAATTGAGGATTTTGGGGTGGGAATTGAGGATTTTTTGTCGAAAAATTGCAAAAATTGCGAATTTTGGGGGGGAAAAAAAAGCAAATTTTGTGCAGAAAAATGAGGATTTGGGGGGAGAAAATGAGGATTTTTTTGGCGGGAATCGTGGGATTTTTTGGGAATTTTGTGGGGAATTGTGGGGTTTTTTTTGGGAATTGAGGATTTTGGGGTGGGAATTGAGGATTTTGGGGTGGGAATTGAGGATTTTGGTCCCAAATTTTCCCTCCCAGCACGGAGTTCAGCGCTCGGGTGGCGCGGGAGTACCTGGAGCTCTTCCAGTTCCAGGGGCTGAGCCTGGAGCAGGCCCTGAGGTGAGAATTGGGGGAAAATTGGGAATTTTGGGGGATTTGGGATTTTTGGGCATTTTTGGGATGATTTGGGGATGATTTTGGGGGAATTTGGGGGAGATTTTTTGGATTTTTTTGAGAGATTTGGGGCTGTTTTGGGGGGAATTTGGGGGATTTTTGGGGGGGATTTTGGGGCAATTTTGGGATGGATTTGGGGCTTATTTGGGGCAATTTGGGGGGGATTTTTTGGGGGATTTTTTTGGGGAATTTTGGGGGGAATTTGGGGGATTTTTGGGGTGGGTTTTGGGGGGAATTTGGGAGATTTTTTGGGGGGGATTTTGGGGCAATTTTGGGATGGATTTGGGGCTTATTTGGGGGGGATTTTTGGGGGGAATTTTTGGGGGGAATTTGGCGATTTTTGTGAGGGAATTTGAGGGAGTTTGGAGCGATTTTGGGGGCGATTCTTTTGGGGTGAGATTTGGGGGGTTTTTGGAACGATTTTGGGGAAATTTGGGGGAATTTTTGAGAAGGATTTGGGGGATTTTTGGGGGATATTTTGAGGGAATTTGGGGCGGTTTTTTGAGGGAATTTGGGGCGGTTTGACGGAATTTGGGGTGGGTTTTTGGGGTATTTCAGGTGGGTTTGGGCTGTTTCAGGCTGGTTTTGGGGGTGTTTGGGGTCACTTTTGGGGTTTTTTGGGGGTTTTGGGGTCACTTTTTGGGGTTTTGGGGTCACTTTTGGGGTTTTTTGGTGGTTTTGGGGTTGGTTTTGGGGGTTTTGGGGGTGTTTTGGGGTCACTTTTTGGGGTTTTGGGGGTGTTTTGGGGTCACTTTTGGGGTTTTTTGGGGGTTTTGGGGTTGGTTTTGGGGGTTTTGGGGGTGTTTTGGGGTCACTTTTTGGGGTTTTGGGGTCACTTTTGGGGTTTTTTGGGGGTTTTGGGCTGTTCCAGGCAGTTCCTGCGGGCCCTGGTGCTCTCGGGGGAGACCCAGGAGCGCGAGCGAGTCCTGGGGCACTTCTCGAGCCGCTTCCACCGCTGCAACCCCGGCGCCTTTCCCTCGGCTGGTGAGACCCCAAAACCACCCCAAAACCACCCCAAAACCGACCCTAAATACCCCAAACCCACCCCAAATCCCTGCTGCAACCCTGGGGCTTTTCCTTCTGCTGGTGAGACCCCAAAACTGACCCTAAATACCCTAAAACCCACCCCAAATCGCCACTACAACCCCGGGGCTTTTCCTTCATCTGGTGAGAGCCAAAACCACCCCAAACCCGACCCTAAATACCCCAAACCCACCCCAAATCCCTGCTGCAACCCCGGGGCTTTTCCTTCATCTGGTGAGAGCTAAAACCACCCCAAAACCAACCCTAAATACCCTAAAACCGACCCCAAATCCCCGCTGCAACCCCGGGGTGTTTCCCTTGGCTGGTGAGACCCCAAATCCACCCTAAACCCGACCCTAAATACCCCAAACCCACCCCAAACCTGCGCTGCAACCCTGGGGCTTTTCCTTCTGCTGGTGAGACCCCAAAACTGACCCTAAATACCCTAAAACCGACCCTAAATACCCTAAAACCGACCCCAAATCCCCGCTGCAACCCCGGGGCTCTTCCTTCATCTGGTGAGAGCTAAAAACCACCCCAAAACCCACCCTAAATACCCTAAAACTGACCCCAAATCCCCGCTGCAACTCCAGGGCTTTTCCTTCTGCTGGTGAGACCCCAAAACCGACCCTAAATACCCTAAAACTGACCCTAAATCCACCCCAAATCCCTGCTGCAAACCTGGCACCTTTCCCTCACTGGTGAGACCCTAAAACGAAGCCTAAATACCCTAAAACTGACCCTAAATACCCCAAACCCACCCCAAATCCCCGCTGCAACCCCAGGGGCTTTTCCTTCTGCTGGCGAGACCCCAAATCCACCCCAAAACCGACCCTAAACACCCCAAATCCACCCCAAAACCGACCCTAAACACCCCAAATCCAGCCCTTTAGGGGATTTGGGGTCCTCTGGGGGGGGTTTGGGGTCCCTTTAGGGGATTTGGGGTCCCCTGAAACCCCAAATCCCCCCAGACTCCGTTCACACCCTCACCTGCGCCCTGATGCTGCTCAACACCGACCTGCACGGCCAGGTGAGGCACCCCAAAAAAAACCCCAAAAAACACCCCCAAAAAACCCCAAAAAACCCCCCAAAAAAACCCCCAAAAAACCCTAAAAAACCCCCCAAAAAAACCCCCAAAAAACCCCAAAAAACCCCAAAAAAACCCCCCAAAAAAACTCAAAAAAAAAAAAACCCAAAAAAAAACCCCCAAAAAACCTCCTAAAACCTCAAATACCCCAAATCCCCTGAAATATCCCCCCTCCAAAAAAAAATAAATTAAAAAACCCCCAAACCCAGAAAAATCCCAAATCATCCCAAATCCCAAAGTGAGCCCCAGATCACAAAAAGGGATAAAGGGATTTTGGGGTTTGGGGGTTTTTGGGGTTTTGGGGTTTTGGGGGCGGGTTGGGGGTGGATTTGGGGTGGTTTTAGGATTTTGGGGCAGATTTGGGGTTTTGGGGGCCGATTTGGGGTGGATTTGGGGTGAATCATCCCCGGGGTTCCCTTCTGGGGTTTTCCCCCTTTTTGGGGTAATTTTGGGGCAGTTTTGGGGTTGATTTTGGGGCAGATTTGGGGTGAATCATCCCTGGGGTTCCCTTTTGGGATTTTCCCATTTTTAGGGTGATTTCTGAGCAGTTTTGGGGCTGATTTGGGGCAGATTTGGGTCGGTTTTGGGGTGAATCATCCCCGGGGTTCCCTTTTGGGTTTTTCCCCTTTTTTTGGGTTGATTTTGGGGCCAATTTGTGTTGCAGATTTGGGGCAGCTTTGGGGCAAATTCAGGGTTTTTTTTTAACATTTTTGGGGTGGTTTTGGGGCGTTTTGGAGCATTTAGGGGCGGTTTAGGGGCAGATTTGGGGTGGGTTTTGGGGTTTTTCCCGTTTTTGGGGTGACTTTGCCCCCGTCCCGCAGCGCCTGGGCCGGGCCATGAGCAGCTCTGAGTTCGTGACCAACCTGAGTGGGATGATGGACGGGCAGGACTTCCCCCGGGAGCAGCTCAAGGTACCCAAAAACCCCCCAAAAAACCCCAAAAATATCCTAAAACTTCCTAAAATAATACTAAAAAAATACCCCCCAAAAATCCTAAAAATTCCTTAAAAAATCCTAAAAAAATCCCCCCAAAAAACCCAAAAATATCCTAAAAATTCCTTAAAAAATCCTAAAAAAATCCCCCCCAAAAAACCCTAAAAATTCCTTAAAAAATCCTAAAAAAATACCCCCAAAAAAACCCCTAAAAATTCCTTAAAAAATCCTGAAAAAATCACCCCCAAAAACCCAAAAATATCCTAAAAATTCCTAAAAAAATCCTAAAAAAATACCCCCAAAAAACCCCTAAAAATTCCTAAAATAATCCTAAAAAAATACCCCCCTAAAAACCCTAAAAATTCCTAAAAAAATCCTATAAAAATAGCCCCCAAAAAACCCTAAAAATTCCTTAAAAAATCCTTTAAAAATCCCCCCCAAAAAACCCTAAAAATTCCTTAAAAACTCCTAAAAAAATCCCCCCAAAATCCCCCAAAAATCCTTTTAAAATCCCCCCAAAAAATCCTTTAAAAATCCCCCCAAAAATCCTTTAAAAATCCCCCCAAAATAGCCAAAAAATCCTAAAAAAAAATCCCTCCAAAAAAATCCTAAAAAAATCTGATAAAATACCCAAAAAATATCCGAAAAAATCCCCCCAAAATGCTACAAAATATCCGGAAAAAAATCCCAGAAAAATCCTAAAAAAAATCCTAAAAAATAAAGATAGAAAATCCTAAAAAATCCCCCCGAAAATTAAAAAAAATTCCTAAAAAACCCTTTAAAAAGTTCCCAAAAATCCTAAAAAAAACCCCCCAAAAAATCCTTAAAAAAGACCCACAAAAGCCCCAAAAATGGGGAAAAAATCCTAAAAAAGTCCTAAGAAAATTCCCCCCAAAAATCTGAAAAAAAACCCCAGAAAAACCCCAAAAAATCTTTAAAAAATCCCAAAAAAATCCTAAAAAAATCTGAAAAAATCCCAGAAAAATCTGAAAAAATATCCCAAAAAAATATCTCTCAAAAAATCCCAAAAGACCTTAAAAAACCCTAAAAAAATCCCAATTTTCCCCTCAGGCTCTGTACGGTTCCATCCGCAGCCGGAAACTGGAATGGGCAACGTGAGAGGGGATTTGGGGGATTTTGGGGGGAATTTATGGGATTTGGGTTGAATTTTATGGGATTTGGGTTGGATTTTGTGGGATTTGGGTTGGATTTTGTGGGGTTTTGGGGGATTTGGGTTGGAATTTATGGGTTTTGGGCTGGATTTTGTGGGATTTTGGGGCTGGATTTTATGGGATTTGGGTGTTGAATTTATGGGATTTCGGTTGGGTTTTAAGGGATTTGGGTTGGATTTTGTGGGATTTTCTGCAATTTCACCACCAATTTTATGGGGTTTTTGTGGGATTTTTGTGGGATTTGAGTCAGATTTTATGGGATTTTGATGACAAATTTATGGGGTTTTCTGGGATTTTTGTGAGATTTGTGCTGGGGTTTTCTGGCATTTTGGGATTTTCTGGGGTTTTTCTGCTGTTTCCCCTCCAGTTTAATGGGATTTCCTTGGGATTTCCACAGGGACGACGAGGACGAGCCCGGGGCCGATTCCCAAAAGGCCAAAAAAGCCCCAAAATTCCCAAATCCCGAAATTCCCCCAGAACTTCTGGGGGGCTCCGGCCCCGCCCGCAGGGGGGTCCTGGCCAGGAAGGTCCTGGCAGAGAGCGACGGCAAAAAGGGTCAGTTTGGGGCATTTTGGGGGATTTTGGGGCATTTTGGGGATTTTAATGGGATTTGGGGAATTTTAATGGGATTTGGGGGAATTTTAATGGGATTTGGCGGGAATTTATTGGGATTTGGGGTGGATTTAATGGGATTTTTGTGGGAATTTAACGGGATTCTGTTGGGGGTATTTTAGGGCTGGATTTGGGGGAATTTAATGGGATTTTGTAGGAATTCAATGGGATCCGGGGGGAATTTAATGGGACTGGGGCTGGACTTGTGGGAGTTTAATGGGATTTGGGGTGGAGTTAATGGGATTTTGTTGGGGATATTTTAGGGCTGGTTCCGGGTGGGTTTGGGGGAATTTAATGGGATCCGGGGGGAATTTAATGGGACTGGGGCTGGACTTGTGGGAGTTTAATGGGATTTGGGGTGGATTTAATGGGATTTTATAGGGAATATTTTAGAATTTAATAATTTCAGGGTTTTTCCCCCCCCCCACAGCTCCCTGGGGCTTGCAGGGCTGGTTTGGGGTGAAATTTAATGGGATTTTGTGGTAATTTAATGGGATCTGGGCTGGATTTGTGGGGAATTCAATGGGATTTGGAGCAGAATTTAATGGGATTTTGTGGTAATTTAATGGGATTTTGTGGTAGTTTAATGGGATTTGGGCTGGATTTATGGGGATTTCATGGGATTTGGAGGAGAATTTAACGGGATTTTGCTTGGGGTATTTTAGTATTTAACAATTCTGGGGTTTCCCCGCAGCTCCGTGGGGCCGGCGGGGCTGGTTTGGGGTGAAATTTAATGGGATTTGGGCTGGATTTGTGGGGAATTCAATGGGATTTGGAGGAGAATTTAATGGGATTTTGTGGTAATTTAATGGGATTTTGTGGTAATTTAATGGGATTTGGGCTGGATTTATGGGAATTTAATGGGATTTGGAGGTGAATGGGATTTCGCTTGGGGTATTTTAGGATTTAATGACAATTTTGGGGTTTCCCTGCAGCTCCGTGGGGCCGGCGGGGCTGGTTTGGGGTGAAATTTAATGGGATTTGGGCTGGATTTATGGGGATTTCATGGGATTTGGAGGAGAATTTAATGGGATTTTGTGGTAATTTAATGGGATTTCGCTTGGGGTATTTCAGGGTTTAATGACAATTTTGGTGTTTCCCCGCAGCTCCGTGGGGCCGGCGGGGCTGGAAGCGTTTCGGGGCCGAGCTGCGGGGGCCCCTCCTGGTGCTGCAGAGGGACCCCCCCGAGGGCCCCGAGGAGTTTCTGGGGCTGCCCCACGCCCTGGCCCAGCCCCACCCCAAATACACCAAACGCCCCCACGTGTTCCTGCTGCGCACCGGGGACCGCCGGGAGTTCCTCTGCCAGGCACAGTAAGGGGCAAAAATCAAAAATAATAAACCCCAAAAGCACTAAAAAGAAGGAAGTCCTAAAAAAAAAAATTATTACAAATACGGCAAAAAATGGTGAAGCTGGGAAAAAAAAAATCCCGTAAGGATAAATGGCTCGGAAAGGGTTAAAAAAAAACAGAGATGCTAAAAAATATCCTAAAAAAATCATAAAAAAATACCCCCCAAAAAACCCTAAAAATTCCTTTAAAAAATCCTAAAAAAATCCACCCCAAAAATCCCTTAAAAATCCTCCCAAAAATCCCTTAAAAATCCCCCCAAAAATCCCTTAAAAATCCCCCCCAAAAATCCCTTAAAAATCCCCCCAAAAATCCCTTAAAAATCCCCCCAAAAATCCCTTAAAAATCCCCCCCAAATAGCCCAAAAATCCTAAAAAAAAAAAAAAAATTGTTTTTAGGAAAAAATTCTACAAAAAAATGTAGAATCCTGAAAAAATGCGAAATCCTAAAAAATGAGAAGTTTGGGAAAAATCCCGATTCTTGAAAAAGCCCCAAATATGGGAAAAATCCCAAATATGGAAAAAATCCCAAATATGGAAAAAAACCCCAATATGGAAAAAAATCCCAAATAAAAAAAACCCAAACCCAAATACGGAAAAAAAAATTCAAATCCTAAAAAGAATCCCAAATCTGGAAAAAAATCCCAAAAGGCTAAATGGCTCAGAAAGCACAAAAAGCCTGAAAAAGCCATGAAAAAAAAAATCCCACAAATCCTAAAAAATCACAAATCCTAAAAAAAAATATTTGGGATATTTTTGGGGTATTTTAGGGGTAATTTTGGGCTATTTTGGGGGGTAATTTTGGGATATTTTAAGGGCAATTTTAGGGGTATTTGGGAGGGTAATTTTGGGATATTTTAAAGGTAATTTCGGGGTATTTTGGGGAGTACTTTGGGGGGTATTTTTGGGGTATATTTGGGGTTTTTTTTGATATTTTTGGGGCATTTTTGGGGTGTGGTTTTGGGTTATTTTTTGGGGTATTTGGGGGGATTTTAGGAGTATTTAGGGGGTATTTTTGTGGTAATTTTGGGGTCTTTTGTGGTAATTTTTGGGTGTATTTTGGGGGAGGATTTTTTGCGATATTTGGGGTCACTCAGGGTTATTTGGGGTTTTTGCAGTATCTGGGACATCTGTGGGGTTTTGGGGTATTTTTTGGGTTATTCGGGGTCTGTTTGGGGGGGTATTTTCTGGATAATTTTTGGGATATTTTTGGGCCATTGGGAGTTTTTGCAATATTTGGGGTATCTGTGGGGTTTTTGGGGGGCTATTTGGGGGTTTTTATTTACATTATTTGGGACGTTTGGGGGTTTCGCCATATTTGGGACTTCGGGAGCGTTTGGGTGGGTGTGACGTCACCGATGACGTCACGATGACGTCACGGTGACGTCGCAGGAGCGCCCTGGAGCTGTCCCAGTGGGTGTTTGGGATCAACGTGGCCGCCGCCCTCTGCTCGTCCCCCCCCTTCCCCGCGGCCGTGGGGTCCCGGCGCCGCTTCGTGAGACCCATCCTGCCCTCGGCGCCCAGCCGCTGCCCCCCGGTGAGAAACAATATCCCAAAAACCCCAAAAACCACCCCAAAAATCCCATAGAAATGTCCCATCCTGCCCTCGGCGCCCAGCCGCTGCCCCCCGGTGAGACAAAATATCCCAAAAACCCCAAAAATCACCCCAAAAATCCCATAGAAATGTCCCATCCTGCCCTTGGCCTCCAGCCGCTGCCCCCCGGTGAGAAACACCCCAAAAACCCCAAAAAATATCCCAAAAATCCCATAGAAATGTCCCATAGAAATGTCCCATCCTGCCCTCGGCGCCCAGCCGCTGCCCCCCGGTGAGAAAAAATATCCTAAAAACCCCAAAAAACATCCCAAAAATCCCATAGAAATGTCCCATAGAAATGTCCCATCCTGCCCTCGGCGCCCAGCCGCTGCCCCCCGGTGAGAAACAATATCCCAAAAACCCCAAAAATCACCCCAAAAATCCCATAGAAATGTCCCATCCTGCCCTCGGCGCCCAGCCGCTGCCCCCCGGTGAGAAACACCCCAAAAACCGCCCCAAAAACCCCCAAAAACCCCCAAAAATCCCATAGAAATGTCCCATCCTGCCCTTGGCCTCCAGCTGCTGCCCTCCGGTGAGAAACACCCCAAAAACCGCCCCAAAAACCCCAAAAAACCTCCCAAAAATCCCATAGAAATGTCCCATCCTACCCTTAGCCTCCAGCCGCTGCCCTCCGGTGAGAAACACCCCAAAACCCCCAAAAAATACCCCAAAAATCCCATAGAAATGTCCCACAGGAACCCCAAATCCCATAGGAACCCCAAATACCTCAAATGCCCCAAAAACCCCAAAACCCCCAAATTTGGGCTGTGCCACCCCAATGTCCCTTTGTCGCCCCCAGCTCCCCAATGTTCCCAAATGTCCCCAATGTCCCCATTGATGTCCCCAGGAGCAGCAGCAGTGCCAGCTGCGCCGCTGGTTGGGGACAGTGACCCCAATGTCCCCAATGTCCCCAATGTCCCCATTGATGTCCCCAGGAGCAGCAGCAGTGCCAGCTGCGCCGCTGGTTGGGGACAGTGACGTGCCAGCTCCTGGAGCACCAGCGGCTCCTGCCCGAGGGACGGGGACGGGAGCAGGAGGAGCACCGGGCACACGGGGACTTCCTGCGCCACGAGGTGACAGTGGGGACATTGGGGACAATGGGGACAATGGGGACAATGGGGACAATGGGGACACTGGGGGCAATGGGGGCAATGGGGGCAATGGGGGCAATGGGGACAATGGGGACATTGGGGGCAATGGGGACAATGGGGGCAATGGGGACAATGGGGGCAATGGGGGCAATGGGGACACCAGGGGACATGGGGACATTGGGGACATTGGGACAATGGGGATATTGGGGACATTGGGGTGGCACAGGGACACTGGGGGGAATGGGGGCAATGAGGACAATGGGGACATAGGGGACATTGAGGGATTGGGGACAATGGGAACATTGGGGGACATTGAGGACAATGGGGGCAATGGTGACAGTGGGGACATTGAGGGGCGCTGGGACGTTGGGGACAATGGGGACCTTTGGGACAGTGGGGACATTTCGGGGCGCTGGGACGTTGGGGACAATGGGGACCTTTGGGGACACTGGATCGAGGACAATGGGAACATTGGGGACACCAGGGAGTGACACAGTGACCGGGAGGAGGGGGGGCGGTGACCCGGTGACACTGGGAGGTGCCACCCCGGTGCCATTCAGGTGACAGGGGGATGGTGCCACCCCGGTGCCACCCCGTGACCCGCGTGTCCCCTGTCCCCGCAGCGCCAGCGCTGCCTCACCTACGTGCAGGCGCTGGGGGCGTGGCTGCGCGGGGACAGCGGTGACAGCGCCACCCTCGGGGACAGCGCGGAGCTCGGGGACATCCCCGAGGACGCCCTTGGGGACAGCCCCGAGTGTCCCCACGGCCCCGCGCCGCTCACCAAGTGCCACTCGAGCCCCTCGCTGGTGCCGGAGCCGCCCCCGGGCCGCGTGCGGCGCCACATCTCGGAGCGCAGGGCCACCCGTGTCACTGTCCCCAAGCGCCACCGCGACCGCCTGTGACTGTCACCAATGTCACTGTGACTGTCCCCAGTGTCCCCAGTGTCACTGTCACTGTCACCAATGTGTCACTGTCACATCTCGGAGCGCAGGGCCACCCGTGTCACTGTCCCCAAGCGCCACCGCGACCGCCTGTGACTGTCCCCAATGTCACTGTCACATCTCAGAGCGCAGGGCCACCCGTGTCACTGTCCCCAAGCGCCACCGCGACCGCCTGTGACTGTCCCCAATGTCACTGTCACATCTCAGAGCGCAGGGCCACCCGTGTCACTGTCCCCAAGCGCCACCGCGACCGCCTGTGACACCCACCAATGTCACTGTCACTGTCCCCAATGTCACTGTCACTGTCACCAATGTCACTGTCACATCTCGGAGCGCAGGGCCACCCGTGTCACTGTCCCCAAGCGCCACCACGACCGCCTGTGACAGACCAGGATTGTCCCCAAGTGCCACCCAGACTGGCTGTGACACCCCTGTGGGGACCCTGTGACAGAGACACCCCCAAGTGCCACCCCTGTGACAGGGACAGTCCCCAATGTCCCCTCCCTGGGACACTTTAAGTGCCACCCCCTGTGACAAGGACACTCCAAATGTCCCCTCCCTGTGACAGGGACACCCCAAAGTGCCACTCCTGCGACAGGGACAGTCCCCAGTGTCCCCTGCATGGGACAAGGGACACCCCAAAGTGCCACCCCCCAAGACAGGGACACCCCAAAGTGCCACTCCTGTGACAGGGACAGTCCCCAATGTCCCCTCTGTAGGACAAGGGACACTTTAAGTGCCACCCCCTGTGACAGGGACACTCCCGATGTCCCCACCCCAATGTCCCCAATGTTGTCCCCAATGTCCCCTTTCCCCCCCCCTTGGTACGAGACCTTTTTTGGGGGGTCCTGCTCTGAGCTCCCCCCGGGATTGGGAACAACTCAGGGAAATCCCAAAAAATCCCAAAATTCCCCGTTCCCAAAAATTCCCCGTTCCCAAAAAATCCCAATCCCAAAAATCCCAATCCCAAAGGAATTTGGGGCAGAATTTTGGAAATTCTGGGGGGAATTTGGGACTTTTTTTGGGGGGGGGGGGGGGATTTGGGATCCCCCCACTGTGGTTGTGCAATAAAGGTTCAGAATTCTGGAATTTTGGAGAATTTTGGGAATTTTGGGGTGGGGGAGGGAGGAACTTTTGGGGAGAGGGAAAATGGGGATGGATTTCTGGGAATTCCAGCTTCTCCCAAATTCCCGCGGGTGACGAGCCCCAAAATCCCAAAAAAAAAAGCCGCAAAATCCCAAACTCCTGGATCCCAAATTCCTGGACCCCAAATTCTCACATCCTAAAGTCCCTGATCCCAAATTCCCAGATCCCAAATTCCTTAGACCTCAAACTCTTGGGATCCCAAACCCCTGGATCCCAAACATTTGGACCCCAAAATCTTGGGATCCCAAATTCCCCAATCCCAAACTCTTTGATCCCAAACTCCTGAAACCCCAAATTCCTGGACCCTAAATTCCCAGATCCCAAACTCTTTGATCCCAAATTCCCAGATCCCAAACTCTTGGGATCTCAAATTCCCAGATCCCAAACTCTTGGGATCCCAAACTCTTTGATCCCAAATTCCCCGATCCAAACTCCCCAATCCCAAAATTCCTGGACCCCAAACTCCTGGGTCCAAATTCCCCGATCCCAAACTCTTGGACCCCAAACTCTTTGATCCCAAATCCCCCGATGAATCCCAAACTCCCCCACTGATCCCAAACTCTTGGGATCCCAAACTCCCCGATCCCAAATCCCCCGATCCCAAACCCTCCAATCCCTCCCCAACTCCTGTCAGGTCCTTGTGGGACCGGGGGGATTTTGGGCCATCCTGGGGTTTATTGGCTGTGGGACCCCAAACCCGCCCCGGCCCCACGAACCCAACTGGGGAGGGACAGCGAGGATGGGCTGGGGACACTGGGGGGACTGGGGAAGGTCCTGGAGGACATTTGGGAAGGTTCTGGAGAACACTGGGTGCTCCTGGAGGCCACAGGAGGGTCCTGGAGGCCATGGGAGGTTCCTGGAGGCCATGGGAAGGTTCTGGAGAACATTGGGTGCTCCTGGAGGCCATGGGAAGGTTCTGGAGGCCACGGGAGGTTCCTGGAGGCCACGGGAGGTTCCTGGAGGCCATGGGGAGGTTCTGGAGAACATTGGGTGCTCCTGGAGGCCACAGGAGGTTCCTGGAGGCCATGGGAAGGGTCTGGAGGCCATGGGAAGGTTCTGGAGAACATTGGGTGCTCCTGGAGGCCACGGGAGATTCCTGGAGGCCACGGGAAGGTTCCTGGAGGCCATGGGAAGGTTCTGGAGAACATTGGGTGCTCCTGGAGGCCATGGGAAGGTTCTGGAGGCCATGGGAAGGTTCTGGAGGCCACGGGAGGTTCCTGGAGGCCACAGGAGGTTCCCGGAGGCCCCCGGGCTGTCCCGCAGGCGTCCCCGGTGGCTCAGAGCCCCTCGGGGCGCTGGTACTGCCAGAAGGCGATGTCCCCGTCGTCCCCGCAGGACGCCAGCAGCCCCGGCTCCCGCGGGTGCCAGGCCACCCCGTTGGCGTCCTGGGCGTGCGCCCGCGGCACGTGGGCGGCCAGGCTGAACGTCACCGGGGAGCCCGGGGACACCGGGGACACCTCCTCAAACACCCGCACGGCATCGTCACCGCACGCCGTGGCCACCGCGCCCGTCAGGTGACACCTGGGGACACGGGGACAGGGGTGAGGTGACAGCCGGGGACACGGGGACAGGGTCAGGTGACAGCTGGGGACATGGGGACAGGGACAGGTGACACCTGGGGACACGGGGACAGGGGTGAGGTGACAGCTGGGGACACGGGGACAGGGTCAGGAGACAGCCAGGGACATGGGGACAGGGTGAGGTGACACCTGGGGACACAGGGACAGGGACAGGTGACACCTGGGGACATGGGGACAGGGGTGAGGTGACAGCTGGGGACACAGGGACAGGGACAGGTGACACCTGGGGACATGGGGACAGGGTCAGGAGACAGCTGGGGACATGGGGACAGGGACAGGTGACAGCTGGGGACATGGGGACAGGGACAGGTGACAGCTGGGGACATGGGGACAGGGACAGGTGGCACCTGGGGACACAGGGACAGGGTCAGGTGACACCTGGGGACACAGGGAGGGCACAGGTGACACCCGGAGAAGGGAAAGGGGACAGGTGGAACCTGGGGACATGTGGCACATGAGCAAAGACAGGGACAAGGACGGGACAAGTGGCACATGGGGACACAGGGAGGGGACAGAGGGGTCATGGAGGGGACAGGTGGCACCTGGGCAGGGACAGGGTCAGGGAGGGGACAGGTGGCACCTGGAGAGGTGGGGTCAGGGAGGTGGCACCCGGAGGGTCACAGGGCCCCAGCGAGGTGTCCCCAAGTGTCCCCAATGTCCCCATGCTCACCAGGCCACGTCGTAGATGCTGCGCCCGTGGTAGCCGGACAGGGTGCAGACACACTGCCAGCTGTGCTCCGAGCCAGCGCCTGGGGACACACAGGGGACACACAGGGGACATCAGGGACAGCACAGACAGCGGGGTGTCCGCCCCCACAGGGCGTGGTCATCACTGCAGGACACGAGTCCCTGTCCCCATCCCTGTCCCCAGCTCCTCATCCCTGTCCCCTGTCCCCTGTTCCCATCCCTGTCCCTGCTGTCCCCAGTGTCCCCCATGTCCTCAATGTCCCATGTCCAGTGTCCCATGTCCCGTGTCCCTGCTGTCCCTCACCGTGTCCCTGTCCCTGCTGTCCCCATGTCCCCAGTGTCCCTCACCATGTCCCTGGCTGCGCTGCCACACGCGCAGGGTGCGGTCATCGCTGCAGGACACCAGTCCCTGTCCCCAATGTCCCCAAAGTCCCATGTCCCCTGTCCCTGCTGTCCCCATGTCCCTGTCCCATGTCCCCATGTCCCTGTCCCATGTACCCCACCCCTCACTGTGTCCCTGTCCCTGATGTCCCCATGTTCTCAATGTCCCCAATGTCCCCATGTCCCTCACCGTGTCCCTGGTTGCGCTGCCACACGCGCAGGGTGCGGTCATCGCTGCAGGACACCAGTCCCTGTCCCCAATGTCCCCAATGTCCCATGTCCCGTGTCCCTCACCGTGTCCCTGCTGTCCCCATGTCCCCAGTGTCCCTCACCGTGTCCCTGTCCCCAATGTCCCCCTGTCCCTGCTGTCCCCATGTCCCCAGTGTCCCTCACCGTGTCCCTGGCTGCGCTGCCACACGCGCAGGGTGCGGTCAGTGCTGCAGGACACCAGTCCCTGTCCCCAATGTCCCCAGTGTCCCATGTCCCGTGTCCCATGTCCCTGTCCCTGCTGTCCCCATGTCCCCATGTCCCTCACCGTGTCCCTGGCTGCGCTGCCACACGCGCAGGGTGCGGTCATCGCTGCAGGACACCAGGCGCTGGCCCGAGCGCTCCCAGGCCACTGCCCACACGGTGGACGTGTGTCCCTCCAGGGTGGCACAGCACACCCAGTCGTCCTCGTCCTCGCGGTACAGCCGCACCGTGTCATCGTAGCTGGCACTGGCCAGCAGCTGGGGACAGCAACGGGGACATCAGGGGGACTGGGGACACTGGGGACACTGGGGATATTGGGGACAGAGGGGATATTGGGGACACTGGGGACAGGAATGGGTCCCTGGCAGGATTTGGGGGTCTTTGGGGTCCCTGTGGGAGTTTGGGGTATCCCAGGTGCCCCCAGCACCCCCCAGATGTGTCCCCAGGCCCCCCTAGGTGTCCCCAGGTGTCCCTGCAGGTGTCCCCAGCTGTGTCCCCAGGTGTCCCCAGGTACCTCCTGGCTGGGGTGCCACACCACATGTTTGACGTCCTGGCTGTGGGCGCTCAGCACGCTGACACACTCAAACTCCTGCTCCTCCTCGTCCACTGCGGGGACAGCGGGGACACGGGGTCAGCGTGGGGTCAGTGAGGGGTCACGGGGGTCAGTGAGGGGTCACAGGGGTCAGTGTGGGGTCACAGGGGTCAGCGCTCACCCTCCCAGACCCAGACGCTCTTGTCACGGCTGCAGGTGGCCAGCAGTGACCCCGAGGGTGCCCAGGCCACCGACTTCACCTCATTCTCGTGGCCCTCCAGCGTGGCCACCACCTGTGGGGACAGGGCACCGTGACACGGGGGGACACGGGGTGGGGAAGGGTCTGGGGGACACAGGGGACAATGGGGACACATTGGGTAACACAGCAGGGGTGTTACAGGTGACAATGGGGGGCACCCGGGTGACGCTGAGGTGACACTGAGGGGATACAGGTGGCATCGGAGGGACACAGGTGACACTGGGGTGACATAGGTGACACAGGTGACACTGGGGGGGTGACACAGGTGACACTGTGGGGGTGACACAGGTGACACTGGGGAGGTGACACTGTGGGGGTGACACAGGTGACACTGGGGAGGTGACACAGGTGCCACCAGTGGCAGTGTCCCACCTCGAAGCCGTGCTCGTGGCGCCTCCAGACGCAGGTGGTGCCATCGAAGCTGGCCGAGGCCAGGAACTGCCCGCACGGTGACCAGGCCACGCGGCGCACGGTGCGCTGGTGCCCGTCCGCCAGCACCGCCCGGCACGCCCAGCCCGAGCCTGGCACGGGACAGGGACGGGGACAGTGAGGGGACACCGGGGACAGAGCCCGGCCAGCGCCGTGTGCATCCCGCTCCTCCCGCGCTGTCCCGCCACAGACTCGCACGGTCCGGTCCCATTCCCGTTCCCGTTCCCCGCTCACCCTCCCGGCCCCACACCCTCACGGTCCGGTCCCGTTCCCATTCCCGTTCCCGTTTTTCCCGTTCCCCGCTCACCCTCCCGGCCCCATATCCTCACGGTCCGGTCCCGTTCCCGGTTTCCCCGTTCCTCGCTCACCCTCCCGGCCCCACACCCTCACGGTCCGGTCCCGTTCCCATTCCCGTTCCCGTTTTTCCCGTTCCCCGCTCACCCTCCCGGCCCCATATCCTCACGGTCCGGTCCCCGCCGCAGGACGCCAGCAGGGCCCCGCTGGGGCTCCAGGCCAGGGCCCAGCAGCGGGACTCGGGGTGCGCGGACACCCGGCACAGCAGCGACAGCGCCTCGGGCATGGCGGCACCGGCACCGGAACCGACCGCGGGCCCGGAGCGGCGCCGGAAGCGGAACAGAAGCGGAAGCGGAAGCGCGGCCGGGCGGGGCGGGGCCGTGAGGAGGGCCCGGAGCCGCTGCCGGGGCCCGGCGGGGTCGGGATCGGCACCGGCACCGCCTGTCCCGGGATCGGCACCGGCGCCGCCTGTCCCGGGGCCGCTGTCGGGGATCGGGGCCGGGCTCAGCGCGTTCCGAGCGACCGGGATCGGTGTCAGAAGCCACTGCCGGTGAACCCGGGGCGGGTGTCGGGGGTCCCGGAGCCGGTACCGGTGACCTCAGGGCCAGTACCGGTTATCCCGGAGGGGTGTCAGGGGTCCAGGAACCGGTACCGGTTATCCCTGGGCGGGTGTCGGTGACGCGGAGAGGGTGCCGGGAGTCGGGAACCGGTACCGGGGATCCCGGGGCGGTGCCAGGGGTCCCGGAGCCGGTACCGGTTATCCCGGAGGGCTGTCGGGGGTCCCGGAACCAGTAGCGGTGCCCCGGAGCGGGTGTCGGTGACGCGGGGAGGGTGCCGCAGGTCGGGAACCGGTACCGGGGATCCCGGAACCAGTACCAGTTACCCCAGGGCCGGTATAGGGTACCCCGGGCCGGTGTCGGGGGTCCTGGAGCAGGTGCTGGTGACCCGGAACCGCTCCCGGTGATCCGGAGTGGGTGTCAGTGACCGGTACCGGGACCCGGAGCAGGTGTCCATTACCCCAGCGCCGGTACCGGTGACCCGGAGTTGGTGTCACTGCCCCGGTCCTGGTGACCCAGGGCTGGTGTCCATAACCCCAGTGCCGGTACCGGTTCCAGTCCCAGGCCGGTTCCAGTGACCCAGGGCCAGTGTCCGTAACCCTTGTGCCAGTCTCAGTCCCAGCGCCGTTCCTGTTTCCAGTCTCAGTTCCAGTCCCAGTCCCGTTCCTGTTTCCAGTCTCAGTTCCAGTCCTGTCCCCGTGACCCAGACCAGGTGTCCGTAACCCCAGCGCCGGTCCTGGTTCCATTCCCGGTGCCGGTCCCGGTTCCAGTCCCGGTGCTGGTTCCAGTCTCAGTTCCAGTCCTGGTCCTGGTGACCCAGAGCTGGTGTCTGTAACCCCGATCCTGGTCCCAGTTCCAGTCCCAGTTCCAGTCCCGGTGCCGTTCCTGTTTCCCGTCCCGGTTCCAGTCCCGGTTCCAGTGACCCAGGGCTGGTGTCCGTAACCCCAGTCCCGGTTCCATTCCTGGTTCCATTCCTGGTTCCGGTCCCATTCCCGGTCCCGGTGCCGGTTCCAGTCTCAGTCCCAGTCCTGGTGACCCAGGGCCGGCATCTGTAACCCCGGTACCGGTCCCGGTTCCATTCCCAGTTCCATTCCTGGCGCCGGTTCCAGTGCCCCAGGGCCGGTGTCCGTAACCCCATTCCCGTTCCCGTTCCCGTTCCCGTCATGTACGCGGCGGGCGCGGCGGGCCCGGTTCCGTCGCGGCGCCGTGGCGCGGCGCTGCCCAAGCAGCCGGAGCGCAGCCTGGCGTCGGCGCTGCCGGGGGCCCTGGCGATCACCGCGCTCTGCACCGCGCTGGCCGAGCCCGCCTGGCTGCGCATCCACGGCGGCACCTGCGCCCGCCAGGAGCTGGGCGTGGCCGACGTGCTGGGCTTCGTGCAGCCCGAGCTGCTCCGAGGTGAGCGCGGCGCTTCCGGAACGTTCCGTGGCGTTCCGTCCCTTCCTGAGCCTCCTGTGCCCTTCCTGAGCCTCCTGGGTCCTTCTGTCCCCTTCCAGAACCTTCTGTGGCCTTCTGTCCCCTTCCAGAACCTTCTGTCCCTTCTGTCCCCTTCCAGAACCTTCTGTCCCCTTCCTGAACCTTCTGTCCCTTCTGTCCCCTTCCAGAACCTTCTGTCCCCTTCCTGAGCCTCCTGTGTCCTTCTGTCCCCTTCCAGAACCTTCTGTCCCCTTCCAGAACCTTCTGTCCCTTCTGTCCCCTTCCAGAACCTTCTGTCTCTTCTGTCCCTTCTTGAGCCTTCCATGGCTTTCTGTCTCCTCTGGAACCTTTTGTGTCCTTCTATCCCTTCCAGAGCCTTCTGTGTCCTTTTGTTCCCTTCCAGACCTTTCCAGAACCTTCTGTGTTCTTCTATGTCCATCTGTCCCTTCCAGTCCTTTCTTGTCCCTTCCAGAACCTTCTGTGCCCTTCCGTTCCTTCTGTCCCCTTCCGGAGCCTCCTGTCCCCTTTTGGAACCTTCTGTGTCCTTCTGTGTCCATCTGTCCCTTCCAGTCCTTTCTTGTCCCTTCCAGAACCTTCTGTGGCCTTCCAGTCTTCTCTGTTCCTTCCAGACCTTTTTGTCCATTTCCAGAACCTTCTCTGCTCTCCCTCCTCCCTCCCCATTCCCGTGGAATTTCCCCGTTCCCATTTTTCCAGCCTTGCTCCTCCCCCTCGGGCGCAGGGACTCACCCCTAATTAACAACTCACCCCTAATTAATGACCTGTCCCTGATTAGCAACTCACTCACCCCTAATTAACGAGCTATTCCTAATCAATGAGCTATCCCTAATTACAGGGGTTGGCTCAAAAGGGGTGGCGTTGGCATTTAAAGGAATGTTTGGATTTGTTGCCCCCAAAAAAATCTCCCCAAAAATCCCAAAAAAATTCCCCCCAAAAATCTCCCCAAACCTTCCCCTTTTCCACCCCAAATTTTCTTTTTTTTGGGGGGGCAAAAAATCAGATTTTTTTTTTGTGCAGAAACTCGGATTTTTTTGCTGAAAAATCAGATTTTTTTGTTAAAACACCCAAATTTTCTTGCCTCTAATCCCGTTTTTTCCCATTTTTTCCCCTTTTTCCCCCCCAGATTTCTGCATGAACCCACAGACGGTGCTGCTGCTCCGGGTCATTGCTGCTTTCTGCTTCCTGGGCATCCTGTGCAGCCTCGGCGCTTTCCTGCTCGACGTCTTCGGGCCCAAACACCCGGCCCTGAAAATCACCCGGCGCTACGCCTTCGCCCACATCCTCACAGGTGGGGCCACCCCAAAAATTAAAAAAAAAACAGTGGTGAAATTCTATCCAAAAATCCCAAAAAATTTCCAAAAAATTAAAAAAAAAAAGTGGTGAAGTTCCACCCAAAAATCCCCCCAAAAATCCCCCCAGAATTAAAAAAAACCACAGCGGAATTCCACCCAAAAATCCCCTGGAAATTAAAAAAAAAAGCAACAAAATCCCCCCCCCCCCCAAAATCCCCATTTATTCCCATTTTTTCCCATTTTCTCCCAATCTAACCAATTTTTTCCCATTTTTTTCCCAACCCAACCCATTTTTCCACGTTTTTCCCCAATCTAGCCAATTTTTTTCCCATTTTTCCAGTCCTGCAGTGTGCAGCCATGAGCAGGTTCTGCTCCTGGGCTTTGGAGCTGCTCCTGGAGACCCCAGACCCCAAACCCACCCCAATCCAACCCAACCCATTTTTTCCCATTTTTCCCATTTTTTCCCATCTTTTTCCCATTTTTTCCCAAATCCAACCCAATTTCCCCCATTTTCCCAGTCCTGCAGTGGCCACAGTGATCGGGTTCTGCTCCTGGGCCTCGGAGCTGCTCCTGGAGACCCCAGACCCCAAACCCACCCCAATCCAACCCATTTTTTCCCATTTTTTTCCAACTTTTCCCAAATCTAACCCAATTTCCCCCATTTTTCCCAGTCCTGCAGTGCGCCACGGTGATCGGGTTCTGCTACTGGGCCTCGGAGCTGCTCCTGGCGCAGCAGCAGCAGCACAAGAAGTACCACGGCTCCCAGGTGTTCGTCACCTTCGCCGTCAGCTTCTACCTGGTGGCCGGGGCGGGCGGCGCCTCCATCCTGGCCACGGCCGCCAACCTGCTCCGGCACTACCCCAGCGAGGAGGAGGAGCAGGCCCTGGAGCTGCTCTCCGAGATGGAGGAGGCCGAGCCCTACGGGCCCGACTACGAGGTGGTCAACCAGTTCCAGCCGCCGCCCGCGTACACGCCCTGACGGCGGCCAGCGTGATGGTGGCCACCGTGATGGCGGCCAGCGTGATGGGTGGTCACCTTGATTGCAGTCACCATCATCGTGGTCATCGTGATGGTGGCCACCATGATGGTGGTCACCTTGATCCCGGTCATCGTGATGGTGGCCACCATGATGGCGGTCACCTTGATCACGGCCATCGTGATGGTGGCCACCATGATGGCGGTCAGCATGATGGGTGATCACCTTGATCGCAGTCGCCATCATTGTGGTCATCCTGATGGTGGCCACCATGATGGCGGTCACCTTGATCCTGGTCACCGTGATCACCATGATCATGATCAGCGGGGTGGTGGCCACTTTGATGGCAGACATTGGGGTGGTGGCGACCTTGATCCCGGTCAGCGTGATGGGTGGTCACCTTGATTGTGGTCACCTTGATCATGGTCATCATGGTGGTGGCCACCATCATCCTGATCACCTTGATCCCGGTCACCGTGATGGTGGTCATCATGGTGGTGGCCACCACGATTGTGGTCACCTTGATCCCAGTCACTGTGATCCTGGTCATCGTGATGGCAGCCACTGTGATGGTGGTCAGCGGGGTGGTGGCCACCTTGATCCCGGTCACCATGATCACCATGGTCATGGTCATCGTGATGGTGGCCAGCATGATCGTGGTCACCTTGATTGTGGTCACTGTGATCATGGTCATCATGATCATGATCATTGCCATGGCGGTCATTGTGATCGTGGCCACCGTCATCACGGTCACCTTGCTTGTGGTCACCATGATCGTGGTCATCACGATGGTGGCCTCCATGATCATGGCCATTGTGGTCATCGTGGTCATCGTGATGGTGGCCACCATGATGGTGGTGGACGGACAGAGAGGCCAGATTGTCCCCATGGGGCTGGGGTGATGTCAGGAGGTTCTTCCAGGGGAGGATCTGTCCAGCTGGGTCCCGGGAGATGTTCCAGCAAAGGATTTCTCCAGGTGGATCTCTGGAGGTTCTTCCAGGGCAGGATCTGTCCCTGTGGATCCCAGGAACTCTTCCAGCAAAGGATTTCTCTGGATGGATCCCAAGAGCTCTTTCACCAAACTGTTTGTCCAGGTGGACCCTGAGAGCTCCAAGAGCTCCAAGAGCTCTTACAGAGGATTTCTCCAGGTGGATTCCAAGAGGTCTTCCAGCAAAGGATTGGTCTGGATGGACACAGGAAGTTCTTCCAGGGAAGGGTTTCTCCAGGTGGATCCCAAAAGTTCTTCCAGCAAAGGATTTCTCCAGGTGGATCCCAAAAGTTCTTCCAGGGAAGGATTTCTCCAGGTGGATCCCAAAAGTTCTTCCAGCAAAGGATTTCTCCAGGTGGATCTCTGGAGATCTTCCAGGGCCTCGATCCCGGAGTTGGTTCCGTGGCTCTCCCGCTCCAGGTGGGTTTTCCTTGGAATGGGGGGAGTGGGATCCGCCTGGACTGAGAACTTCGGGATCCCCAATTCCCAATGAATTGAGAACTTTGGGATCTCCATGGACTGAGAGCCTTGGGATCCCCAATTCCCTGTGGATCAAGAACTTTGAGATCCACCATTCCCCATGGACTGAGAACTTTGGGATCAGGAATTCCCAACGGATCCAGAGCTTTGGGGTCCCCTTGGGCTGAGAACTTTGGGATCAGGAATTCCCACCGGATCCAGAACTTTGGGATCCCCAATTCCCCCTGGAATGAGAACTCTGGGATCCCCAATTCCCACCAGATCCCAAACTTTGGGATCCCCCAGCCCAGCCCCTCTCCTGGCTCAGCCCCCCCTTTTCCCACAGGAACATTTCTCCCCCTATTTAAAAATTTGGGAATTCCCGTGCCCGCTCCCCCTTTCCCCACCCATGGACATTCTGCACTTTATTCCAGGCTCTGGGAATTCCGGGATCGCCTTTGGGGTTTTTTTGTTTTTTTTTTTTTTTTTTGGGATCGTCCCACAAAAATTTGGGAATTTCGGCCTCCCCGGAAATCGGGATGAGCCCTGCTGGAAAAACCCGGAGCTTTTATGCAAATCCCTCCACTCCCATCCCACTTTTTCCCCTCACAAAATTCCCAATTTTTTTCCCTGCTCTGATTTTTCCCAGAAATTTGGGGCCAAAACAAAACAAAACAAAAAAACAAAACAGGAAAAATCCCGTCAGGATTGAAATTCCCAACAAAATTCCCATTCCTGGAATGCCTCAGCTCAGGGGGGATTTTTCAGGGAATCTCCTGAATTTTTAGGGAATTTTAACCCCGGGATCCAATTCCTTGGAGGTCCCGATGCTTTTATCCCGATTTTCCTGCTTTTATCCCGAATTTCCTGCTTTTATCCCCATTTTCCTGCTCTTTTTTTCCCATTTTTTCTTCCCCCTGGCTATGCAAGAGCTCCCCCAGGATGGAAATCCCAGAAAAATCCTGGAAAAATAAAAATTCCGAGGAAAAAAAAAAAAAATCCCGGGAAAGGCTCGGGAGGAGCCGAATTGACCCTGAAAATCCCGGGATTTGGGATCCGCCGGGAAAAGCGTCGGGATTCCCTGGATATGCAAAGAGGGCGCGAATAAATCTGTGAAAAATGGGATTTTCCGGAAAGAATTCCCAAAAGAACCCCGGGATGGGAGAAGGGAGGGAGGCCTTGCTCAGGGATTTTGGGATTTGGGATCGGCCGCGGGATTTGGGGGAATAAAGGGGGGGAAAGAGACGGGAGGGGTGGTTGGGAATGGGGAGGGGGTGGATCCTGAAAAATTGGGATGGATCCCAAAACAAATGGGCTGGATCCCATAAAAACTTGGCTGGATCCCAAAGATTCCCGCCCTTGATCCCCCGCTGGGGGCGTGGTCCAGCTCAAGCCCCGCCCCAAACTTCCCCACCCAAGCCCCGCCCCCTTCCCCTTTCGCCCTTGCCGCTCTCGCTTCCTGTACCATGCGCGGGTGGGCGCGGCCTCCCCTCTGCAGCCAATCACCGCGCGGGGCGGCACTGCTCGGACCAATGGGAAGGCCGGAACCGCTCAGACCCCACAGCGCCCCATAACAACACGAAGAGCGTCCCAAAAAACCCCGAAAATCCCCAAAACCCCCGAAAATCCCCCAAAACCCCCCCGACGCCATAGCGGCTCGGGAGGCGGGGCCACGCAGAAGCCCCGCCCACCGCTTCGCCCCCGTCTCCCTCTCACCCTCACACCCCCTTCCAGTATCACGCGCTGCTGGGCGTGGCTTCATCCCCTCCAGCCAATCACCGCGCGGGGCGGTGCGGTGCCGACCAATAGCGGCGCGGCGCGCGGCGATGACGCGGCTCGAGCGCGACGCGCGGCGCGGCGGGGCCGGCATGTGGCGGCCGCTGGCCGCGCTCGCCGCCCGCGGCGCCACCGGAGCCACCGGCGGGGCCAGCGGCGGAGCCTCCCCCGGCCCCGCGCCGCTGCCGCTGCTGCTGGCGCTGCTCGCCCGCCACTGCGGCTGCGGGAGGGCGCGCCGGGCCCGGCAGCGCGGCGGGCCCGGGGACGCGGCCCGCGGCACCGGGAGAGGAACCGGGAGCGGCTCCGGGAGCGGCGGCTCCGGGCGCGGCCGCTGGGGAGGGCCCCGGGGCCGGTGCGGGCCGGGCGCGCCGCGGGGCAGCCTGATGGCCGCGATCGGTGCCGGGGCCTTCGTGTGGGACGGGCAGCGCATCGAGGAGGAGGAGCTGAGGCGGTGAGGGGGAAACACCGGGAATAACGGCGGGAATAACACCGGGAATACTGGGAATGGAGCGTGTGGAATGAGATGCTGGGAATACTGGGATTATCGGGAATGGGATACTGGGAACGGCAGGGATACAGGGAATGCGATCCTGGGAATGGGACATTGGGAATAAATATCGGGAATTTCATTCCCAATGCCATAAAACCCGGGAATTGCCTCAGGTCGGCGCAGGAGCTGCAGCAGCTGGAGGATCCCGAGGCGTTCCCGGAGCAGGAGCGGGGCTGGGAGCCGGTGATGGAGCGGGAGCAGTTCCGGCTCTGGCGCCGCCCCATCCCGGGATCGGCCCTGTTCCAGTACCGAGGTGGGGAATCCCTGAATTCCCAAATTCCCGAATTCCTGAAATCCCAAAGCCCCGAGTTCCCAAAAGCCCCAAATTCGGAAGTTCCCAAAATCATGAAATTCCCAAATTCCCCAATTCTCAAACTCCAGGAATTCCCAAATCCCCAAAATACCAAAATCTCAGATTCCCCAAAATTCCTGGAATTCCCAATTCCTGAATTCCCCAATTCCCAATTTCCTCAAAATCCCTGAAATTCCAAGGTTCTCAAATTTTTGGATTCCTGGGATTTTGGGATTCCCGGGATCCCTCAGTTCCCAGGATTTGCTGATTTTTGGGATTTTCCCGCAGTTTTTGGCTCCTACACCGACGTCACTCCCAGGCAATTCTTCAACGTCCAGGTGAGCGGAATTCCCCCAAATTCCCAAAAATTCTTCAGGAATTCTTGGAATTCTGGCCAGGATTTGACTCCAGGCCTGGGAATCTTTGGGAATTCCGGGTGGATCCCAGAAAAACCTGGAAAATTCCCATTTTTGATCCCATCCCAGGGAATTCCTGATCCTGTTTTTCCCAAATATTCCTGGAAATCCCGGATTTCCCCCTGAGGGTTTTCTGGGATCAGGGTGGGGAGGGATTTTTTCCCTGCTTCTTCCTGGAATTCCAGGGGTTTCCCAATTTTCCCAACCCATCCCAATTTCCTCTGGAATTCCAGGATTTTTCCTGGCATTCCTGATCCTGATTTTCCCTGGAATTCTGGGGTTTCTCCCTCCCGATTTTTCCTTGGAATTCCAGCTTTTCCCCATCCCATTTTTCCTGGAATTCTGGGATTTTCCAGTTCCCATTTTTCCCTGGCATTCCAGGTTTTTCTTGGCATTCCTGATTCTTGTTTTTCCCTGGAATTCCAGGATTTCCTGATCCCGTTTTTCCCCGATCTCATTTCCCCGGGATTTCCCTGGAATTCCAGGATTTCTTTCAGTCATTCCTGATCCCATTTCTCCTGG